TGAAGTATGTTTGGCCGAATTAATTAAAGGGGATGCTTACGCCTGCCCTATAATGGCCAAACCTAGAGCATCGAGCAAAAACGGAGCCTATAAAAGATGAAAACAAACAGGTTAGGACGTTCTCGTTCGATGTGACCAATGCTGACCTTTTATTTGACTAACTGTATAAGGATAAGTAGATAAAATTGAGCGATATACATAAATTTCCAAGCACTGAACTAATTAATGGTAAAATATATTGTAAGTGGCTTAATGCATGATCACATTTAACTAATAATTGCTTGGTCTTTCGTCATGTGTTACAGGATGCTATCGAATCACGGCGAATCACGTTCGAAGATAAGAGAAAAATGGCAGTGGAAAATCCTTTCTCGCAGCTACTTGGGGTGAATATGGTGACGACTGGTTTCAAAAACAAGTTGCCGATATTCAAATTGGTTACAGACGACAGTGAAGAAGATCCTGGGCCACATCCCAATGTTTTTGAACGTATCAAAGGGAAAGAGTTTAGAGAAGATGGAAATATCCTTTGTGCAAGATGTAAAGGAGAAGTGGGTGTAAATATAGAGAAACCAGGAATATGGCAGCATCACCATCGCCCTGATTTTGTCCCAACGCTAAGCCTGTTAAAGGGCGAGGTACATCATTCTATAGAGGACTGCCTTTTGAGAGACAGTTCATGCCAATAAATAATGGGAGGACATTTAGGCCGCAACCTCGCCAACCAAATGGCATTCATTCCAGTATAATGCAGGAAGGGTGATACCCTTCAATGAGATGACTGGAACCCAACAAAGGCGTTTTCAATGGAATTATGGACGAACGATGAGGCAACAACAGGGATTGCCGCATCCTAAAGTACCTAAATTACTCAAGGTGGCTAATCAATATGTTCTCAAAGATAGTAAAGAGACTGGTACAGGTGAATCAATGGAAGAACTGTCAGAAAGTTCTTCTGGGAGATCAAAGTTTGAGCGAGGCAAAAAGAATGAAAAATATGCAGATCAGCCCCTTACTATTCAATTCGGTACGTTACCTCTTGTCATGACTAATAACTATTTACTAGCCAATGAGTTCAAAAACAAAGAAAAAGAAGATGAAGAAATGGAGGATAACGAAGAGGAAGCATGTGTGCTAGAGTGTGAAGAATGCCAAATATCTAGCGGGGCATATGACGAAGAAGAGGATGATGGTATGACGGACATCGATGAAGAAATTGATCTGGAAGCAGAGAGAAAAAGAAGGGAGTATCGCGCAATACGTTATTAACACAATTACATCGAGAAAGTGTTCGCGGGGTAGACTTGTTGAGAAAACCATCTGGGCTTTCCTTTGATCACTATGCGTTGTACGGGACACCCAAAAAGAAGAGAAGAGTGCCTCGCTCTGAGAAATATTGGTCACCTCCAAGAATATTGAATCCCCCTACAGGATGGGTAACTGAAGAAGAAACACTAGAAAACAGTAGAAATGAAATTTAGGAAATAGAAGCTCAGTACGACATATTACACGTTGAGTTATCACAAGGAAATAATTCAACAGAGGACAAACAGGAAGTGGAAATAGATGTTGCTGAAAAAGTTATTTTCAAGAGATCAGTCATGAAATTAACTAAACACTTGAGGCCATTGTACGTGAAAGCTTTAGTCAATGGTATACCTGTGGCGAAAGTACTCATTGATAATGGAGCAGCTATAAACACCATACCCTCCAAAATGATGAGTAATTTCCCAAAGACAGAAAGTGATATGATTCCAACAGAAGTCATTCTT